GCGAGGAATTATAAATTCCTAAATTTCTAGCGGTAGAGTACTTTCAGTGCCAAGCCATTCGCCGCATCCAGGTCCGTTGCCAAGCGAAATTTGGCTAGAGAAATGATCATGATGGGCGAGTCACTTCTGGTGATGGAGTTTGGAAGCTCGAACTAGGGGCTTGAAATGACCCGAAGATATGACACAAGGGTAGTATAGTCTACATGTATATCTATATGGGCCGAACAGCCCTAATGCCATCATCTGGGCTCGCCTCAAGTGGCCTCGTTGATCGCAGTGGACAAACTGCGTAGAAAAGCAGTTTAAATTTAACTACTCAAAGGTTCATTTTTTTTTATATTATTTCAGTACCTAATGTCCCTATCATCCATCGCCTTCCTTTCCAAGTAGGCAAAGGTAAAGAGTATAACTACAACAATCGCAAGCAGCAGAAACAAAAAGTTACTAGTACAAAATGGGATGAACAATCTCCATGAATTCCATTTCGTTTTTTACACCACAGCCATCTCCCCACCAGCAAAGGGAGAAACGGAAAACACACACATAGGATAATAAGAACCGGGGGGGGGGGGGGGGGGTTGAACCTAGTTAATCCCTTTTTGAGGAAAAAAAAATGACTAAACAGAAGGACAGAGCGTGAAAATATTCAGAATAGAAGTAACGTGTATTTTACTCAGAAGTGCGGAGGATTACGTTTATGTTGGACTATTTTACTGATACCTAATGGGGGTGGGTTGCTAAGCCCCAGTCCAACGGTCAACAAAATCCCAATCTCCATAATGCGTCGGCTTCTATGTCTCTAAGGATGTTTGAACTCACCTGACTGTTGGCTGGAACTGGCTGTTCACCCTGTTGCTGGAAATATTTCGTGTAAGGATTTTCTCCCCTTACAATAGCAGCCTCGTCAATCTCGACACCGGGATGGCCGTTCTCCATCATAAGACGTCTATCAGTTGTGGACTCTTTTCCGTCTTCAGCTAGCTTGGCTTTGTTTACGGATTGCACGGAGAATGGTCTTATTAGATGACTGGAAGTTAGCTAAAGGCCTTAAGGTTTATGAGGGGTGGGAACGGTGGAACTGGTGAGCATACTAATAAAGTATTGTGGGGTAAATAGGTAAGTTGAAGGAGGTTTTAGAAATGGACACAAGAAAGGGGACAGAGGGGAAAATCAGGAGTCGTAGGTTCAAATAGGTTACAAGCCTAAGGATGGGGGAGCTGGCTAAGAGACTTGGCCTTTGCTGATTTAACTTGACGTGTTTAAAGGGGCCGTCGCAACGGGCTGCAATGACAAAACCTGGAATGTGAGGGAGGGGGAGGGGAGGAAATACTAGGGGAACGATAGAGAAATTGGTACTTGCCCATTGACCTCACGATCCAGCAACAGATACTCCTTTGCGGAGTCCTTTCCACCACGCTCAAGAAGATACACCATGTAAAAATGAGTCAAATCGCGAATGGTCATTGGTGGGAGATGACTTTTCTTGCGAATATCATCAACAACCTGTCGGATCCTAGCGGCATTCTCTGCCTCTATCTCTGCATTGGTTGGCTGTTCCATCTCAAACTGTAGGTAATTGATCCAGAAGTATCGGCTATCGAGGTACCAGTGATGGTTCTTCTGGTACACTTGACGAGCTTCCTCAACATTTCCTTTGACCTTCCACAAAAGGCGGGCCCATTCGGCGGTAAGTGCACCCTTAGCATAGATATCACACTTATCGCTCTCAATTTGAGCCCTGTAGATGGCAATTGCAGCATCCAGGCCGCCTTGTCTTCGCTCAAGATTGGCCCAGGAAACGATAGTTTCAATGTGACCGGGAACTGATTTTAATATTAGTAAGGGCGATCATAGAATATATATGCAAAACTTACGTTGTTCAAGGACAGCTTCATGAATAGCCCTTGACATGTCAACCCTCCCTTGGGCCTCTTCGAAGTGGGCGTACTGGAGACGAATGCCAGTTCGTCTACTGGGTATTAGCGCATGGCGAACACCCATCAGAGGAGTGTGTATACTTACGTGATGGGAACAAATGTCATGCTAGCCCTCTGGTAGATGTTCCGGACTTCCTCTTCCTTCCCTTCTTGGGCAGACATCCACCTAGCATACCGGTACCAAAATTCATCATAGAAAGCGCAGGTCACCAGGCAACGTTCATACAAGAACTGGATCCTGGTGAAATCGCCCTCAACTTCTTCAAAATCTAGATATTTTCTCCAGTTGACAAGTTGAGGTTCATCCAGTTCATTGACATGGAAGTATGGACGTTTGATCTCTGATTCGTATGTCCACCTTTTAGTTGTCTCTGTTTGAGTTCTTGAGAAAATTTCCAGATGGAAATTGTCGATTCTAACCCTGATTTCCCTTTCGATCTCCAGTTCTCCCCTCTCAATTTTCATCTGCTGTTGTCCAGCTTGAACAGCTGCCGGAGGCTCCGCGATGACTTCCTGTCTAAACTGAGCCAAAGTATCCGAGGGAAGAAGCTCCTCTAAAGGACGGCTCTGTGCGAGTTGCCTGAAACGTTCGAAGTAACGTGCATATTGATGCATGGGGATGTGGATCACACGATCTAGGATAGCAACGATTTTGTCTTCACACTCAAGGCGCTCCTCAAATTCAATATATTTGTCCCAGAAAGGATGGGCCAAGAAGTCTAGACCAACGCTATTCGCGCCGCGTTCAAAAAGTCTGCGATAAAAACGTTAGCTATGGATTGGTGGAGATAAGGGAGAGGAGGTAGTGAAGGAACAAGGACAGGATGAGCAAATACGGCAAAATATCAGTAGTTCTTTGATGTCCATCTCTTCATTCTAACCATCGAGACGCAAAATGCAAACATGAAGGAAGGAACGCGATTGTCTGGGAATTTATGTGTGAGATCTCAAGTCAAGAGAAGGTGGCTAGTTTTGCAACAGCTCACCGATAGGCCCTCAATATGTGCATGCAGCTCGAATCGGCTGGCATCTGAGGTTAAGGCAGGAGGGGCGAGGGGAAGGATAAATAAAAGGGAAACAGCAAATCCTGGTCATGCTCTTTGCGGAACATAATAATCCTAACTTACTCTCTGATGACATCCGGATCGTGGCTGGTTTCGACCTTAAAACCGCAGTAATTTGTCCAAAGATCAACTGAGTTGGTAATGCTAGCGACGCCTCTTTCGTAAACCTGCAATGATAAAAATTAGCGACTCTTGATTATCAAGTATATATCGTATGGGTACGTACCATCTCAGCAGCCTCAGTCCCAGCGATGGTAAACTCCAAATCTGCATACTTTTTCCAGTATCCAAAAAGCAGTGGGAACCTCGCTAGGAACCGATCGAATACGCTCCTCGTCGCAGAAATCGCCTGTGGCGAACTGTTTCTGTTTAGACCACCCTCCAGATGTTCAGCCGCGCGCACAAGCTTTTCCCAAGCATCAAAATCGTCAGGATCCTCCATAGCAGCGCGGTTTGCCTTTTCATATTCGGCAAATTCAGGCTTCATATCGTCGCTACCGGTCGCGGAAGCCATGTAGTCAGACATCTTATCCCAATGATGATGTATCTCGTATTATTGTAGATCGATTCAATAGAATGATGACACTCAGCGCGCCTTGGAAGCGATAGGCAAGTAAGTAGTTAGGTATCGCTGAGGATGTTCTTATGTCGTGAGGAATTCGTGGAAGGATAGTCGTGAGAGAGTAATTTGGTCCAACAAGGCTGACGATTAGTTGACGACAGAGGGAGGTAGATGTTGTTGTATCTCCAAAGCGATGCGCAGCGATGGGCGAGGGTAGGTTGACGCGAAAAGAAGGGGCTGGCCTATCCAGTGGTCGAAGTAATTTTGAAGCGCGCTGGATATAGGGCTCAGGGTCTAAGTTGAGCTGGTTGGCTACACCGAATATCTTGGCACTATCTTGAGAATTATCAACTTGCGTCACTCACTGAACAGTTGGATGTAGTAGGCCCTATTATTCCCAAACTCAAACCAAAATTCGAGTTTATCATTGATGTGCGGGGAAAAACTATTAACAAGCTACCATCATTCATCATCACTGTTATCTATATGTGCTGAGCCCTGTTTACCAAAAGAAGAGAATCCTCTGGTCCTCGACAAAATTATACCTGGACAGGAGAGTGATTTGATGGATCAATGGAGGGGGTAAACTTTGCTTTACACAGACACACAAATGCCCAGGGATCCTGCGAGGTGAGTTTAACCCAATGCTCATATTGTGCCATTTCATGGCATTGGGTACCTACAGTACAGTATGTAGCTATACCTACATGTACCTACATGTACATATAAACACATACATGTATGTTTTCCACGATATACAAAGGACAGAAACCACATAATATATATATGTGTACTCACAAGTGATCACTCGCTCACATTGAACCACATGTAGGCCGTACATTTGCCTTGTAAATATGTAACAGACTAGAACACACCAAAGTGCTGCTCAGTGTTGTGCATGGAGGCTAAAACAGTAATGTACCTACATGTAGAGTGTTACTTCACAACTGTTGACACAGTGTCTACAGTACCTACATTTTACTGTACTCAAGTGTTGTCTTTGTATCAGGTTTAATGTCTGTCATATCCTCCCCTGCGTCTTGATGAACACCAGGGTACATAAGTGCGAGAGCTAAGTGGGTTCGCAAATCTGATTAGATTTGGTTTGTGGTGAGAGAAATGGTTGCAACAAAACTGTGTCCTAAACATGATCTTGGGGCTGAAAAAGGCTCGTACAACCGGCAATAGCATTTAAATCCTTATCTCATTTCTTTTCGGAGCGCAAACACCTATCCTCACTTCTTCAGATAGATACAGACAGATCTTTTGGTTAAGTTGACATCTCACTTTTGAACGTTTAACTTAAATAACTACTACCCTTACCCGGCAACTATTGGTAGCTCTACTGCTCTCCGCCACGTCGACCATAAGAAAAGTTCGAATACCTCCCATACATACGATATTTACTGCAGAACCCGCAAATCACACAAATACACAATGATGGATTACAAAGTACCTCCGTCACCTTTAAGCCCAGCAGAACAGGCCCGAATACGCCGCGAGCGCCGCCAGGCCAAAGTCAAGTCTAGTGCTGGCGCACGATTGAACCGTATCACATCAACACAAGGTCAAACGTTTCGCCAGGAAGGTAATCGCAAACAAAACGTACTCGTCTAGCCTTTCCTTTTTATTAACCATTTCTGGTGCAGATGAAACCCCCGTACCAGAACCGACGCCAGCTCGGGATGAACCTACTCCAGACCCCCCGGAGATTGACATCTCCGCCCATCATTACGAGCCCAAAGCCCGCCAGCAGGATCGTCTCCAAACAGAAAACATTTTCGCAAATATGATTAATTCGCCGATGCCAGGTCGTAATTCTGAACAACCCTCTGATGCAGACCTACGGCAGATGCTTATGAGTATGAATCAAGGCCCACCACCAGGTATGAATATGCCAGGTATGGGTATGGGTGGTTCTGGAGGGGAGGATCCAATGATGGCGATGCTGCAACAAATGATGGCTGGTGGTGGTGGTATGCCAGGTATGGCGGGCCCGGGGATGCAAATGCCTCCAGGTATGGAAGGTATGATGGGTGCTATGGGAATGCCCCCGCAACAACAAGGCAATGATTGGGGAAGTTGGTGGAGAATTTTACATTCGCTGTGCGCTCTCCTTCTGGGACTATGGGCTGTGAAATCTACAGAATGGAGCTTTTCGGGGAGCGCACTACAAAGGGCGGAGTCGGCGAATTTTGATATGGATGAGAAACCGGTACTGATAACCATTCACACCCACATGTTTTGAGCATAAAATATTGATTGGTTCTCTAGCAGTTATTTTGGTATTTTACAACCATGGAACTCGTTCTTCAATCTTCTAGGTTCTTCTTAGAGAAGGTATGGATAGCTCTATCTAAACAGGCCTCGTGGGACTTCGCTAACTGTTGTTTACATTAGGGCCGCCCCCCCCCAGGTTCATGGCTTAGCACAATTGGTGGATTCTTGCCACCCCCATTCGGAACCTATCTGACTACCATTGCCCGCTATAGTGTTATTTGGACGAATATCATTGCTGACGCAGGTGTCCTCCTTTTCTGTCTTGGGGTCTTTTCGTGGTGGAATACCTAACTTTCCTTTTTACGCCATATTTCTTTGCACTTGGCGGCTACCAGCGTTTTATGTACAACAATGCCCTGTCTGACGGACCGAACGATTCTTGAATGAAAGTTGATGAAATGAGTAATAGTACAATATCTATGTGGATTTAGAGATTATGACATCAACGGTGATTTTCCTGCACCCGTTCGTTTCGCCTCTTTCTCCGCTGCTATCCTAGATTCCCTGTTCTTCACTTTCTGTATATCACGCTTCTTCAATTGTTCATACTCTCGCATGAGTGCGGCGTCTTCTTCAGATGTGGGGACTGGAGTGGCCTTTGTGAGCTCTAGTACGGTGGTGCAAATATCGGTATTATCTTTGTGTTGTACATTAAGAACCTCCTTTCGATCGCCATCTGTATATGTAAAAGAAACTCCTTAGTTTTTGTGTCAATTGTCTGGGGATTGACGCATACCAAATTCAATTGTGAGCGTTGAGGGTGTCATTGGATCACTAGACCGATGGACATCCATTTGGACATCCGGATTGTGGTATTTTAAAGTTGGCATGTACTTTTGCCAAAACTTTCTAACCATAGTAACTAGTATTAGATATTTTCCTTCAAGGGCGGATATGAAGGTATGCCGGGAAAGAGGATGTACCGTGGTCCCATAGCGCCGTTATGATTTTTAAATGGGAACTCTAAAGCTATTCTCTTAACTCCAGGAGCCATGATGGCAGCGCCTTTTCCGCAGCGGATTGTGGCAAGTTTCTTATTTCGCAAGTTAGCGAATATCAAATTCTCTAAGTAATAGCACATTGACTTACACCCCGGAGGTACTGCATACGAATCGTGATGGCTACCATTTTGATTCCAAAACGTTATATTTGGGTAAGTTTATGTGAGGAGCTTGCGGGGAAAGTAAAAGTCGAAATTCGGGGGTGTCGAATTCTTAGACGCCCCAGATCTGAAAATCCAGAGTAAAGGAAGGTGAGGGGAGGAAATCTAAAGATACAAGAGAAGAGCGCAATTGGTAGTCAGCGAAACAACAAGGAAAAAAAGTGAAAAGCCACGGTTGTAACGTACTGAACTGACTGTTGGTGGGATGTTTTTCCACATTTCAGCCACTGGTGATAAGTTGCTATCGGTATCGGCGCTCCCCACGTCACGCGTTAAAACAATCACGTCCTCCCAAGTTTTTCAGGAGTCCTTTGTCGTTGCCTCGACGCGTCTCCCCAGGTTTGTACCTGCAGTATGGTGAGTTTCTTTTTACCCCCTACTTATATTACCAAGTTGATCAATTAAAGGACATGATTTAATTACTATAATAACTAGGCGACTGCACGAAATAAACCACAGGCGATCTCAAAGTCAAAGCAAAATGCTAGAAGAGTACACAAAGAACCACCTGCAAAGTCGGCGGCAGCTTCGTCATCACGCCAACATGTGGGCCCAGTAAACAGCGAAAGCTCAAAAGCGGCCCAGAAACGAGTCCGAAAGACGACAGGCAAATTTGCTCAAGAACCCGAAGAACCTGTAAAGAAGACTGGAAATAAACGGAAAGCTGAGGAAATTATCGAGAAGGAAGTTGATGGTATGCATCTGTTTACCGCCATTTATTGTATGATAGATTGTCTAATTAATTCTGCAGGTCCCGAGTATGTGAAGATGCCGATGTTAACGCCAAGGGTGCGGAATATTCCTCAGGAAGTCGTGGAAAACAAATGGGGGCCATTATCGGAGAAGGCAAAAGATGAGTTTCTGGAAGTAATGAAGGTAGCGGAAAGGCCAGTTCTTATGACCTTTGGGAACGAGAAGAAGAGGGCAGAAGCACAAAGGGTTTTGGATGGAGCATTGAGGAGGTATGGAGCTTAAAACCCCAAATACAACTATGATTGTGGTTTGTCTGACTGACCGACGTTGCCAGATTAAAATCAGCTCTACCTAAAATACCTGTGCCACCTATGGGGAAAGATATGACTTTAAATTATGAGAAGTTGCTTACAAAGAACGTGAGTTGCTTAAGTTATATCTTCACTTGTTCTCACTCGGACCAGCACTGAACCCTTCAAGCGAGATCTAGAAGCAATATTAGCGCCCGAGCTCCGTCAGATTGCCGATCTAGAGGCAGAAATTGAGCGAGAACAAAAACTCATGGATCAGGATATGGCTTCTCACAGGAATTTAAAGAACAACGCTGCTACGCAAGAAAAAATCAGGAAAGAAAAGGCTCGATCGGTAAGCGACATCTGCTTAATTTCAACCATTTCAACCATTTTAATCATTTCCAATGCTAACGTTAATGACTCATGATTTAGATGCATCCACTTTTACGGAAGGCAGCCGAAACTGACGTAGGCGTAAAAGATGGGATCAATGATATCAACCTCTCAAGCTCCAAGATTCCCGCTGTTGCATCCTCATACGATGTCAGTTCAGACCGGCAGATCCTCCCACTTACAAAAGTGTTGCAACAACATCTTTCTAGCATGCAAGGCAACAGCGGGCCTTTAGAGGAAGTAAACGAATGGATTCTTAGGAGCAAGGCGGCAGTTGACGAAGTTCTTTTTCAACGCGCAGGGGAAAAGGTCTATGATAAAATAATAGGATTGTAACGATAATTTTGCGGGAGGCGTTTCGGAGTTCTACGGATGAGTGGATGGCGGGGGCCTTCGGGCCGAAGCCGAGGCTGTAGCGGCTAAGAGTTTAAAGAACAAGCGCGAATAAATTTATGCGGTTTCGGTTTTTGACTGTCAATTAATGCTGTAGTGACCGGCCCTATCATTTTGTAGCTGTGAACAAGTATCGAGAAGCGATCCCCACGCAAGAAAAAACCTTAACGTACTAAGTCAAGATAGAAACGTCCTCCCCCACGTCATAAGGCCGCAGGATTGACAAATTATAATCTCTAGAAAACAACCGTTGCTGCGGTGCTGTCGAACAAGAAAAAGGAAACATCTCAAAAGTCTCAAAAAAGCCGCACTTGTCGATCCAATGAAGTTCACCAGGGTCCAGCTGCAGAAAGGGCCATGCGACGACGATTCACCGGTAGACTTGGAGGAATTAGGAATAGGCTGATAGAGCTCTCTTTTTTTTCTGCGCCGTCGATGAGTGCAGGTACATCATCGGCTGCATCACATAATACATTTTCCTCGCTACGTTAGTCAATTGCACGCTCCGTACCGTAGAGGACCTAGTGGTACTTTCTTCATTCAGACAAAGCTGGCTGTAGACTCCCCCTCCACTGGTGAGCAGCTTCGTATCAAGTTCTTCTCTTTCTCCTTCTTCCATTTTGTTTGTTTATTTTGTTTTGCTTCTGTTCGGCTTTCTGAATTCACGTTGTTAGCAGTCACTCGGTGACCCGTTTCCCTGGTCAGGCCAAAGACCATTCTTGGCCCTCTACTTGTCGGTACTTTCCAGCCTGTTGTCCACCCACTGAAAGACCTACTGCACCTTTAGTTTTTTTTTTGGTCGTGCGACACCTTTTACAGCCAGCCCCAGAGCCTCCACCACCACCGACAGCACGCGTACATACATACATACAACCACGCTGTCGGTTTCCACGATTATCTGCGTGGCAAGAACGAAAGGAGTTTGAAAGAAAAAAAAATAAAGAAAAGAGGAGGGTGGAAAGGAAAAAAAAAAAAAAAAAATTAAAATTACACGATAGACACTCGACGTTGAGTGATTGCAGCAGCAGCAAAGATCGAGCAATCACCGCATCATCCTGTTTAGTGTGACCCGTCCCTCTAGGACAGGACACTCAGTTGAATGCGGCGAGACAGAACACTCAATATCGATTGAAACTAATTCTCCTCAACCAATCCTTTCTTCCCATATGACTGAAGCTCAACACCCCACCAGTAGTAATGGAGCTGCAGTGATCACTCCCCATCCATCCACAGCTGAGAAAAACTCTCTGGCTGGAGGATTTGGAGGAGGAGGAGTATCAGGCACTGTTACTGTTACTGCGGGCTCCGGGGGTCCTGCGCACTCGGGTTCCCAGTCGCCAACAACCTCAACTCCAGGGCAAAGTTCTTCGGGACGTAGTCCCAAAAAACGGCGCAAGGTCAATCATGGTATGGACATTTGGAACCTGCTCTGAATAGCCCTACTCCGAAGACATTCCAGGGCTCGTAGACTGATTTTATGGTCGCGTGATAGCTTGTGTGTATTGCCGAAGATCACACATGACATGCGATGATGGTACGTCAGAAAGGAACGCGCATTTTGGCTGCCCAATTTCCTATTTCCCTCCCCAAAATGGCGGGCTGGTGAACTTATACGTGTGCAATTGCTGATGTGGTAAATGCGATTAATCTATTGTCAGACCGGCCATGTATGCGCTGCGTGAAAAGGAATATAGGTCATCTCTGTCACGACGAGCCTCGCGAACCTAAGAAACCAAAAACTGAAGCTGCCAACGCTTTGGATAACGATCAGGAGGACTCGCACACGTCCCCTCCCAGGGTATTGCTAGCGCCTCCGGTCGACGGCATGCCAAACTCCCTTGACAAGCAGAAAGAAGCGAGAATAGGATCTTCCAGTGTTTCGCTCCCGCCTCCCCCCATACCACCCTCAAGGAGTAACGCAGGGGCCTCTATTGTTGCACCATCACCGGTTTCTGTGACACCTAGATCCAATCTGAATGGGAATTCTCAAGCCTGTATGTTGAGTCCCTGATATATAAATACGTGGTTGCAGCCCCAAGCCGAAACTCTCTTTTGACTGACACGAGTTGGCAGTTTTGGGCTTCACCGACTGGGACCACCCTCCTCCTCAACAGCAGTCGAGCTATACAAACCCATATCATCAGCAGTGGATGTTTTCAACACCAGAGGTTTCCAGTGAATTCAATTTACTGAGCGATTTTCTCGGCAACCTCTACTCCGAGGACATCTTTACCAACGATCAAAGTCCAACCTTATTCTCAGAGCCACCTCAAAGCAATCAGCATAATTCAAGGGAACCTGATGCAAGCAACGGTGGCACCACGTTCCACTCTCAACGGCTTCAACCGCCTTCAACTAGCACTATGACGACTGTTCCCCGTTCTGCAAGCCAGAAACCCTCGACAGAGAGAGCTCGAGAAAACTACTACCTCACCGCTGCAGACCCATCTCAAAACAATCCGGAAGAGCGTATGAAACAAGTCCTCAAGGCAAAACTGGAGGCTGGCCTACTCAAGCCGTTCAACTACGTCAAGGGATATGCAAGGCTATCGCAGTATATGGACAGAGAAATGCTGCCAACATCTCGAAAACGTATTTTGGGTCAATTAAACCAATTCAGGCCAAAATTTCGCGAAAGGACCCACCAACTTACAGATTTAGACTTGGTCCATGTGGAGGAATGGTTTGAAAAGTCATTACTTGAATATGACCGAGTTTTTGCGTCAATGGCTGTTCCGGCGTGCCTCTGGCGGAGAACCGGAGAAATTTTCAGAGGAAACAAAGAATTTGCGGAATTAATCAATGTTCCGATTGAACAAATGCGAGATGTATATTCCCAGGATTAATTTCTTTTTATTCTGTTCCGATTTGTCGGGTTTGAGATCCGAGACATTGCCTATCCCGATGGTAGCTGATTTGATATGTCTCATACGATTAGGGAAAATTAGCAATTTACGAGCTAGTGGTGGAAGACTCCGCAGTTAGCTACTGGGAAAAGTTTGGTAAAATTGCGTTCGATACGAGTCAAAAAGCCATGTTGACGAGCTGCCACTTGCGAAACCCGGACCCGAATGCAGAGCAGAAACTTATTCACTGCTGTTTTTCATTCACAATCCGGAGAGATATGTACGATATGTTAGTTTAAGCCATATTTTTCAAATTGAAAACCCAAAAATTTATAGCTGACTATGTGATAGACCGGCCTTGATAATAGGAAACTTCATGCCAATCAATCCTAAAAAGCTATGAGCAACAGATCAACTGACCAACGGACTAATTGATCGCCTTCGAAAAGTCTACTTTTTTTCTTTCTCTAATTTCTAATTTTCTATGTCGTTTTCCATCTAAATCAAAGGCCTTCTGCTGATACCCCAATCCTCGATTATCTGCGCGAGATGGGAAGAAGGGGGATCCCTGATGTCTGTCAGATTACTCCTGTACATGTACGTCAACAACGAGATATTAGGCTGAGGATAAGGGGTGTATCACAAGGCTACAAAGTGTATTTGCATATTTCTCACGGCGTTGAGTGCAGACTAGTTTGGAGTTGAATGCTTGGCTTTTTTCCATGTTTTGTTTATGGGCTATATTTTCCTTACTTTAAAGACGGTAGTCGCAAGGCTGGTGGTATAGGGCGGTGATAACGTGGGTGGGGTAGCGGGGGATTAAGCAGACATGGGGAGGAAAGAGAGCATTGTGTACTGTTTATGACCTTATTCAAGTAAAAAAGGAGGTCAATCTTACGAGTGAGTAGGTTCTCATTCCCCTATTCGTGCTCTGTGCAGCCACATAAGGGTTGAAGTTGCAGGCAGCCGAAGACCCGTGCTTCGTCCCGCCCTTTCAATGCGAGTGCCCTTGTATGAGGCTGGCCATATACCGGCACTTCAATGCCAAAGCTGTCAACCAGCCGCCACCGTTCTTCACACGCTTCGCTCCGTAGTCGATCCTGTGCCAGTAATGGGCCCACCAGACGAGGTGGAAGGTGTGTGTAGGGGGGGGGGGGGCTTCCTTCTTAAGGTTGCACCCATAAGTATCTCACAAGTTACACTGTTTTTAGCTCCTGGTCTCAGACCGGTCTCCGGTTCTAAGAAAGAGTTTCCACCAAGTAGAATGAGCAATGCCTCCCTTCGACGGCCCAAATGCTACAGCTATTGCCACGCTGCAGAAGAGGATCATGTCGCTGTCCGGTCAAGCACCTGTGTTTTGTGTTTCGCTTGTAATCTCCACTCTGAGAAGGGTGTATACTGATTCTTTCTATAGCTTCGTCTGCTGAGATATACCGTGACTTATCATCTAACTCGAACGAACCATCACTGGATGTTCGAATTGAGGCGGCTATGAAACTTGCTGAGAAATGTGCGTCTACTCGTGAGAACATAAAATTGGGCGAAGAATTTGAAGAGTTAGATATCCAAGCCACCAGGTTGTGGAATCTATCAACCACACTTACTAGAGTTAAAGAAGATGGGGATAGTTCCCTTTCATCAAAGGGGAAGGATGTTCTCCATGGTACGCTCTTATTCTCTAGCAGTGGACCAACAGAAACTGATCTTGCTAGTCCGGCTCTTGGCTTTTTTCATGCTGGATTGTTCACACCCATCCTCCACTCGGAAGCTTCAAAATACTATCCGACTATTTAGAGTGGCTGTCAAAGCAGGGAAAACATGTCTAGGTTAGTTGACTTTGTCTTTAAATTAGGGCTTTTAGAAACCTAATGATATCGTAAACTAGATCAACAAGACGTCAAATGGGCATGGAAAACTATGGAAAGGGCCGCAAAGTACCAGGAGGACCTCACCAAGGCGTGTGATTCTCCTGAATTCAAGCCGGAAGATCAGCAGACGCGCAGCAGGTTGTCTTGCGACTATTTCACTCTCCGGACCGTGTTGGCATGGAGGCAGTCGAATCTCTCAATGGCAGATTACATGTACAGTAAGGCAAAAGAACAACAGCAGTCTCTTCTTGATCCGCGGATGTCCGAGAACTTGATTGATGCACTATACGAGATTGGAAATGAGCTACTACAACAAAGTGTTTTTGACGCAGCTACAAAGTGGTTACAAAGATCCTTTGATGTGATTAGTGAAATGGATCCCATATCTCTTTCGGAGAGTGGTGCGGAACTTCGTTTGGCTGTCATGCATAGTCTTGGTAGGTTGATCCCGCGGCGCTCATAGAGGGGCCAACTTTCTAATGTTTAAAAAAGCTAGGGCATATCTTGCGCATGCCACGGAGGGAAGTTTGGATAAAGCTCGGAATGTTATCGATATGATGAATGAAGACTGGCCAACCCGCCTTACCGTCTACCTGCTCAGATTAGACTTGGTTAATGCCGAAAGCCCAGATAACATGCAGAGCTACAGTGAGGTCCTTTCCAGGATGTTGTCTATTGTCGAACTTACAGAGCATTCTTTCAAAATAATAATGGGGAGGATTCATGTGCTTGTTTCAAAGAAAGACATTCGTCTCGCATGCAAATGCCTAGATGAGCTCCTTATCAAACGTATTCTTGTTCTAGAGCGAGATGACTGGATAGAAAGAACATTTGTTACACGTCTTTGGGTTACTATTCAAGATCGAGCTGCGGATGATGAGGCTATTCTACCTTCTCTACGAAATATCTTGGATTCCATGATGAAGAAACTTACCAAGGCACTTAGTCCAAAGGCTACACATGCTGCGCAGATTTTATTGTGGAAGATCACAGAAGCATTCTTTTCCCAGGGAAAATATCAGATTGCTGGCTCCTGGTGTAGAATAGCGCAACACTCCATTTTTGACACGTCTGGAGGATCAAATATAGCGAAAATATCCCGGTAAGCCCGTTTTTAATCACACTAGTATTCATGTCTGTGTTAACCTTATTAGGAAAATAATCCTATGCGCTCTTGAAAGTAAAGATTTTGGAATGGCTATGGAAGCGTTCCAAGAGATGCCTAAAGCAGCCCGTAATGAAGTATTCACCAGTTTCCTAATGTTTAAGGTAGCAGTGAGAACTTCGGACAAAGACCTAGGTATGTGGAGCTGGGGAACTTCAGGCCTGATAGATTCTAATCTGTGATAGCTGTAAAATGTCTTCAACATCTGAGCGAAAGCAGCGACCCCGACAGACGTCTTCTCTACGGCTGTGCGTTGGATGCGCAGGAGACAGGAAACCGGGAATTAGCTTTAGTAGCACTTAGGCTGGTACTCGATCAAATTGGGCTCGTGGCACCCGATATCGGCCACATACCCACGATATTAAGATGTGCCATTCGATTAACAATGGCAGAAATCGAAGGCTCTAGAGAAGCTGAGGCAACAATTGAATCACTATGCTTACTTTTAGAGAAGGGTAGGTTATTATTACTTCCATACGTAGGAACCATACTTATATTCATGGAAGCCGCGGAACAGGCAAAACGATCAAGACAAAAACCCAGGACCTCTGATAAACATATCGAAATTGTTTTTACGATCAAGGAATTAGATTGGTTCGCTCGGAACGCTTACAATATTGGTCTTCGGGGCATTGTTGAGTGGTCTTCATCTAGGAGCTATAGGATAATTTCAGCTTGTATCCGCTTCTTGGAACTGTATCCGGATGATATCGACGAGCCTACACTAGCTGAAGTTTCATACAGAAGATTACTATGCAATTATCTTTGCGCTTGTATTAGCATAGAGCTAGCACGTGTTGAGGATAACATTGAGGCCCAGTTACAGCATTATCTAGTTTCCCGGCGGCACATACAGGATTTCCGTAGCAAAAACGAAACTGTCCGGAGTAAGATAGAACAGGAAGCTGAAGATCTAAGCCAGAAATTTGGAATTCTTCTGGCTTACGATTTTGAAGCTGCAGCTAGGCTGAAAGACTGGGACACTCTCCGAAGCATCGTGGAAGAGGCAGCGTTATCCACCGACAAAGGCATATCCATTTTCGAAAAGGTTACGGATATTTTGATTAGTTGCGAGGCCCCTAGCAGGGTTAAGCTGATAGTCATGCAGGTCATATTGAACTATACGGTTCCGTCTCCGATGGCAGATATCGTGAAACTCTCAAGATGGATTAGGACTTTAGTGCAGCTATCGATTGCCAAGGACCCAAAAGTCACGGAAGCTTTGCTAGTTGAAGTTATCGATGTAACGAAAAATAGAAGCGACGGGCAAAAGTACCCAAACGATGAGATTCAATGGCTTACAGGTTTGCACATTTCCCCGATAGTTCATGTTGAACACTAAATAATAGTGCGTGCGGGTAGCATCTACCTGGAATAGGTCTGTTGACTTTCATTGGTATGAATACCTGTGGCGGTTTTATGTTCATGCGGATATCAAATACTGGGGGCTTACACGGCAATAGCGCAACTGATATATCCAGTGCAAGAAGATTTTCCGATCTCGCTCTTTCCTTGGCGGGTCTAGTAGATGACTCTGGAGCAACTTTGAAGTACCTGCAGACAAAGTTATTGGAATTTAACTGGTCCTAGCTGGTGTGTATATGGAATTGGATCGGAGGGGTGAAGTCATTGTTAAGATCAGAGTTTGTATGTACAAAAGCTCACGTCTCACCATAGCCACTTGTAAAATCTTCAAGTATCAAATCCAAGCATTTAATTTAGGGTCTCTTAGTCTTTTAGCTGCATTCGAATGAATTTACCGTAGGTATTTGTTTATTATCAAAAAGGCGTATTGGCAGTCATTGACCTTCCACGGTATTCATGATTAATAATCGGTTACGCTCTTCCTCATTAGTAGATGCAATTTTTTTTCCCATTTATTCTCAAAAACTTATTATATAAATTTAAGCATGCCACTTTAGAAATGGATATTGAAACAAATTATGCGATTATTTGGAAAGAGTGCTGCAGGTAGGCGTGGTAGGCACGCTTCATTTTACAGATATATTGCATCAAAGCTGGATTGTAGTTATGATTACCGGGTCTCGAAAGAACCCCTCATCCCCCATTACACGAGTTGCACAGATCTCCTACCCTGGGTGCTAAACTTCAAATTCCCCGGGCGTTCGTTTTCCATGGTGTAACTCGTACTTATTTGGCCGGCCTGTACGTAGTAGTACACGTTTTGCAAAGTAAAAAAGGGGGGGGGGGGGAAGAAAAAGGGGGGGGGGGGGGGATCGAAACAAAGAAAAAGTGGTGGGGAATGTAATCCGGGGATTGTTTTTTGCCCGTGCGATCTGGCTCACTATATATAGGTCTCTTTTTGTTTTGCCCGTTGCCATATATCCAGGGAAGTATCAAGAATGGACATATGTAGAGAAGGCACATGGACACCCAAGACTGCCCGTGGGCGGGGCCTAGAGGGGGTCGAGGGAGGGAGCGAGTGAGTGAGTGGGTTAAATGCCTCAAGCCGCCTACGCAACCTCTCTCCGTCTTTGAGGGGTGTCTGGGGGGGGGGGGGTAAATTGTACTGTGTTTTAAGCTTTATTTGAGTGGGGTCGAGTAGAGTTTCCAACACTTTATATATAGCGCAGAGCGAAAGGATAAATGCTAAAGTTAGTAGGAGGCACTGAGACAACAAAGAATATACCATACGCTGGTTTTAAGTGTCTTACTGTACGTTGGATCTTGCCTTCCTCGACGAGCGTAGAACTTGGCTGGATATCTGATCATCAGCTACGAGTTAGTTAAATCCGAAAGAGAGGAGAACCCGTACCTGCAAATACCAAAGTAGAGGAGGCCCGAGGTCAGTACTCTTGAGTATATCTGCACATACCAAAGTAGAAACTAAGAATCAGCACTTTTATGCCATAAGACCAGAACCCATATATCCCCAATATCACTGCCCCATATGATACTGTCCTTATGAGACAGTCCCGAGCGTATAAAGCGAACACATCATACCAAGGCACCTCACCCATCCGATTCCCTATCTTCACGGCAACGCCGATGAGCTCCCTTCTCACCTTCTCTCACCAAGGGCCCACGAGTCACGACCGCGGCTTTAATACCCTTCTCGGTGATAGGGGCAGAACCCCAGACCCCTGATTGTATAGCTAAGCTGACGTGATGGACGGGAAGCTAACACCAGGGGGCAAAGGCAAGAGCGATCATCTTCCTAGGCTAAACGTCCATGGCAAACTACAGCTCAGCTCAAGTTCTCAACTTCGGGATAGGCGATGTGCCTTCGAATCGTATCCGTCTGTCCCGTAGATCTGGGATGGGGAGGGAGTTTCGGAGATTATATATCTGCCACGCCTCTCGTATGCAGTCGAGACTCCGGGGGCGGGATGATGTTAGATGCGGGATGATGTTAGATGCGGGATCGTATTCTGGCCCTTGTTCGCATGGTGGTGGCGAACGTAGAGGCTGGGATGAAGAGGAGGAGGAAGGGTACCCGCAGAGGAAAGGTGTAACCTGGTTACTCACAGTAGAGCCTGTGTAAGAGGCTGGTTTCTGTGTTATTGCAGGAGTAAGTTTTGAGGTAGACGGGTAAATGGAGGTGGAATTAATGGATGCTATAGGCCCTTCAGCTGGACCTTATTTAATTCAAAGTGTTTTTAAACCCAGCTCGATGTTTATTGAACTCAACTTTAGCAGGGTAGTAGCTATGATAACGACACGCTTCGTCACTTATTACTCTCACCACCCATAATGGCTTGAGGTAACCATGCATGATAATCACTTAGGAAGAAAAGGTCAAATAGGACAGCACGAAGGTCAGTCAAAAAAGACTGACATTTCAAAGCAGATATCTACAAACTTTGAAATGAAGGTAAAGATCGAAAAAGGAAAAGAAAGAAAAAAAAAGTCAGCCCATGATACCAGCAGAATTCATTTTCGTAACCCGTAAGCCATTAAATCTGCAATGCATTAGTTTTATATTCAAGAATGAAGAGTTGAACCTTCTTACCGTGAATCTATCCTTAGAGGGGGAAGAAAAAAAGGTGATTGGCAGAGCCAATTAGTGGCAAGATGAGCAGCATCCTCCGTTCTCAGCAACCTTGAGACTCTTGTCAGTAACTTGCAATAGAGATGTATTCTTGAGGGGAGAAGAGATCATCTTACCTTCTCGGTTTTCTCAACCTCAACCGGAGTGCCACCAGTGGTTTCAGTGACCTGCTTGACCTCTTCAAATTTAAAGGGGAAATTAATATCCGAATCAGCGAATTCTGTGACGAGTACATTTATGAATTCGATGTAATCATCCCACGGGGCGACTTCGTCGAAAGGAGAAACAACTACAAACTTACCATCGGAGGCAGGGACTTCCTTGACAGACTTGTCTTCCTCCTCGCTGATGGCCAAATCCTCAATCTTCTGGATGGCAGCAACAGCTTCACCGTTGGCAGCCTCAACTGCCTTCTCCTCAACATACGCTGGGGGAAGCTCCTTGGCCTCCTCCTTCTTCTCCTCAGCAGCAGGGGAGGCGGTGGCTTCGTTGCCGGCTTGGTTGTTCCCGTAGTTAGCAGCGAAGTCCACGATCGACTCTCTCTTTTTCCACCATGCCACGCTGGCAGGGAGGAGGGTTTGGCTGGATAGTGTACCTTGAATTTCGACCTCAGCGGCTCCGTCAACAGCAGGAGTGACGGTGACGGCCTCGTCGGTGGCCTTGGTGCTGGCGTCTTTGGCTTCCTCCTCGACGGTCTTCATGCAGCAGGCTTCGGGCTCCTTGGTGCAGAGCTCTGCAGACTTGACGCAGGAGTCTCCATCGGATTTCACTTCTTCGTCGGATTCTTTGATGGGTTTTGCAGCTTCTGCTTCGTTGGCCTGCTTGCAGCAGGCCTCAGGGGCCTTGTCACACGCCTCGGCGGCATTGTCACAGGCGGCTTGCTGGCGGGGGGCCTGGTCGTTGATGGCTTCAGCGAGGGCCTGGACAAGGTTTTCGTTGTTGTTGACGATGGGGCCAGTGGAGGCGGTGACAGAGTCAGAGGAAGACATGTTGAGGATGGGTTTGAAGATTTGGGCTTGTAAAAAAAGGTTGGATGGTGATGTATTGTTGTTGGTTGATGAACAGGAGAAAGCAGTGTTGTATGGGAATTTATGGTGGTGAGTGGGAGAAGGGAAAGAATTAGAAGAGACAAAGTGACGAGTATGGGATTGTATGTGCTTGTGTGTGGGCGAAATCTACTGTGGGATGGGCAGGCACCTGGGAGGCCTGCGCCGGGACTGTACTTTCTAGGGCTATCTGGCTACGAGATAGGGCACGATTAAGGTTTGAATGGGCTACAGTGGCCTGATTGTTATCTTTTAAATCTTGTCCGTCGCCTGTGGAAGTGGTGGGATGGCCTGAGAAAGTGCCGGAAGGGTATGTAGTTGGCCGAGTGATAGTGCATGATGCAACTGCTCCCTGGCTGATAGCGTCACGCAGGGTAATAGATACCTGGAGTCGTTGTTTACAACAGAGTATCCTTCAGAACGGCATCAAGATAAGTATGGTATTCTCATTAGACTAGACGCATGATATGATGGAGGCCATATTGTGATGTTTTGATGTTCCCGCACAGGATGCGGGGGCAGCTTGAAGCATAGAACAGTTTAGATAACAACGGTCCACGATTGTTAGTTTCTACGCAGCACTCGAAGGGAAAAGTAACTAGCTTGCTGCTACATAAATGTGGTACGCGCAACCATAAATATCTGCCTAGAGAATGGTGAATGTTTGAGAAAATGAAACTTTCGTCTCTTGGGTCATCTATCATCTTACCAGCTACATGTAGCTAGTAGATACGAAGTTAAATGTAGGTCTTTGCCAAAGATTGGGTCCCACGTACAGAGCCTGCGATCCCATTACAGATTCTGCGACTGAGCCGCAGTCAAGGCTAAAGTAAAGCTTACGTAGGTGTCCTAAGCTTCCTAGCAAGGTTTACAGTTAGAGTTAGTACATGTATGTACTCGGGGACATCGTGCTCAGTAGCATGCACATCATCAGGCACGACTCTCGCTCTGAACAGTTCCTTGTTTGTAGCTAACCGACAAGTGGCCGTAAGGTGATTGGAGGATTGACTGCAAAATGCGGACCGGGGGGGGATTGGATTGGATCATAGGGTATCACTCAGCATTAACTTACAATGGATATATCTTGCGGCCATCCTATACTCGCTGGGCAAGAGCCGGTGCTTCTAGGATAAGTACATGTATGTAGGGAGAAATCATCGATTTTCCTGTGCTGTCTGGTTTATTATAAGGCTGGCGTGTACTGTGCTCTAGAGAAAGGAACAATCTCTAAATACATTACACGGCCAAAGACTCCCCCCCTTACTCTCATCACTAGAAACATATATAGCATATTGTACCATACTCGAGCATTCGTTTGAAATCATTTATTTATTCACGCCATTGCCCTCCCCTCTCGACATCACAAAGCCAAATCGGTATCTACGCATCTATGCACACGCGATACAAAAAAAGGCCCAAAGAAAAAGGCAAGAAAAAAACCGAGAAGACAAAAAGCACGGGGCAAAGTCTCCCTAGAGCCTCTAGAACTTGTAGACATCGTCCTTCGAGTATCCCAACTCCTTCAAGATACCCGTGAGCTCTCCCTGGTCACTGGGCGACTTCTTGCTTCCAGAGACAGCCGTGTACAGTCCCGGGGGTCCACAGACCTACACACACACACTGTTAGCAAACAACCATCCCCCCAACCCCCAACCCCCCACCAGGACAGAAAAAACTCACAAAGATCTTAACATTCCCGCTCCCAGGCTCCGGACACACCGTCTTCAGCAGCGCCTTATCCACATACCCCTGCCTCGCCCAGTTCTCCCCCGCCGGCGCCTTATCCAACAGATAAAACGCCCTAAACCTCTGCGGATACGTATTCTCGAGCTCCGCCAGCTCCTTCCTCAGCAAGATCTCATCCACATTCCGATTCCCAAACACCAGCGTCACCTTCGTCTTATCCTCGGGGTTCTTGAAAATCGCCCTCATCAGCTGCCACATCGGCGTGATCCCCGTGCCGCCGGCAATCATGACAACGTGCTCGTGCTTGTTGGGCGCCCACTCGTACTTCGGGATGGGCCCCTTGACGCTGAGGCGCTGGTCGGGCGCCATCTCGTGGAGGTGCGTGCTCATGGGCCCGCCCTCGTAGCGCTTCACGAGCAGGTCCATGTGGCCGCGCACATCCTCGTCGTTAATTGGAGTATAGGGCCGGATGGTCGGCTTGGCGTCGTTGGGGCCCTTGTGCTTTGTGAGGATGGCGCTGGCGACGTGCAGCCCCGAGACATGGTCCTCGCTGGGGAGGGCGAAGCGCAGGAGCTTGGTGGTGGGCGAGAGGTACTCGGTGGAGATGAGGGGGAGGTCGACCCAGGTGCCGTCGCCGGTGAGGGTGGGGATTGCGGGGGGGAGGGGTTTGGCAAAGGGTGTGGCGGTGGTGTTGTAGTAGTAGTAGCCGGCGGCGGCGGCGGCGACGAGCGCGCCGAGGGTGAGCGGGGTGGTGGAGTTGGATTTGGGGGGGGTGGGGGCGGTGGTGTAGCGGCGGAGGGTCTGTTTGGGGGGGCCGCGGAGGGTGGTGCGGAGGGCGGGGACGGCGCGGGAAAACATTTCTTTTTGTGGGGGAGCTAGGACTTTGGGAGTATAGTGTTAATGAAGAGGTCAATTGGGAGGTATGTGAGAGGGATTCAGAGAAGTAGAGAGAGAAGGGGGGGGAATTGGCTGTGTAAATACTCACTTCTCACGAAAGCAGGGCTGGCTGGCTGTGGTGTTGAAGTCGACGTTGATCTGATTACCGAAACAAATGACGTTGATGATTGACGGCTCACAAATCAAGAACGCCAAGCCAGGGAGGGCCCCACTGTTGCCGGAAACATCCCGGGCAGCGCAGGGCAGCAGCGAGTGAGAGCCCGTGACGCGGAAATGATCGCTCGCCAGGAAAGAAAGAGAGAGAGACATGCAAGGTGGGAAACGATACGATGTCCTGCATACCGCAAACTAAATAACTAGAGCAGAAGATGGCTGCCAATACATGGCGCATAAAAATAAAACTACATGGTACTCATCCTGATACTCAAACTGATACCCATACTGATGCCCGTACTGCTCGTACTGCCGCTACCACTGCTCCTCCATCGTGTCACCCCTCGCCGCCAGCTCCTCTCTCCACCTCACAAAGCCCTCCGTCAAAAACGACTTCTCCGCCGTCCTCTCCACCTCGATCCTATCCCCGCGCGGCCTCAATCTCACCCTCCACACCACGCCCTCCTCCCCGCCGCCAACAATCGTCTCCTTCAGCCACGCCAGCAGCCCCGCCGTAAAGTCAATGCTCACCTTCGCGTCCCACAGGTTCCTGCCCGAGCGGCGCGCGATCCCGGGGAGCTCCTGCGTCTCGTACGTCTTGAGCGAGCGCAGCACGCCGCTGTCGTCGCGGAAGCCGACAATGACCTTGGCGATGCCCAGCAGGAAGGACTGCGCCCAGAAGCGCAGGAGCTTGCGCTCGTAGTTGAGGCCGTCGCGCGTGTTGGGGTCGATGATCTTGGAGGTCTTGAGCTCGACGTAGATGGGCGGGTTGTTGGGGTCTCTTGGGGGATTTGAGTTCCAGACTGTGGGTATCAGCACCCTCTCTCTCGCTCGCTTTCTTTCACACACTACTCTCCCCCTACCTCACGCCCAGCTCTCTCTCTCTCTGGTAATTGGGAGAAAAGAATTCTAACGCTCTGACAGGGAAAACATACCGGCATCAACCTCACCCCCAATCACAACCCGCGTGTCCCCAAAGCCCGTCTTGACAATGGAGCAGAACTGCGCCTCGTTCGAGACCACCTCCTCGTCGCGCGACTCAATCACCTCCCTTGGACACTCGTCCCAGTTGCCCGAGATGGTCGAGAGCGTCTCAAACTTGTACCCCCAGTAGCTCATCTCCTCGCCGCGCCTGTCCTGGTTCTGGTTCCCGCGACTCTGCTGCTTGTACGCATGCGCATGGTTCTCCTCGATAAACCTACAATTCACACACACCCCGCCCCGTCCCGTCAGCCAACCAGCCAGCCAACCAGCCCTCCCAAGCGCTCTCGCACACGCAGAAACAACCTACAGTGTACCCTACACCCCACCCACCCATTAGCTCTGCATCCCCCATCACTCCACTCCCCCCCCCCCCCCCCCCCCGCAGAAAACATACCTCTAGCACCACCGCATTCATCTCCCACCCGTCGCGGCCCTCAAACGGCGCCGTCATGAACTTTGTCATCATGCCGCGCCACGTGACGACGTCGGCGCGCGTGCGCTCGCCCGTGCGCCGCTCGAGGTGCTCCAGCGCGCTCAGCAGCCCGTCGATGTGCCCGTCGATGCTGGGGTCGTGCTTGATGAAGGTGGAGAAGCCGTTGGAGAGCTGCGCGGGCAGCGCCGGCGGGTAGTAGGTTTTGAGGGAGGCGGCCGAGTGCACGAGGGTGTGGGTGTCGTCGAAGGAGAAGTGTGTGATTTCCTGTGGGGGGGGGGGGGGGATTAGAGAGCGTTGATTGGGGGGGGGGGGGGGGGTGGGAGGGGGGAGTACCTGGGGGCGCCGGACGGGGGCGTTGAGGGGGGGGACGGGGCGGAGGGGGTAGCTGGAGGAGGCCATGGCTAGCTAGCTCGCTGGGAGCTGGAATAGCTGAGAGAGAGATAAGTGAGTGAGTGGGTGTTTGATAGCTGTATAACTGGCTGCTTGTGTATAGGGCGTGAGAGCAAACAGCTTGTGCAGAACAAGAGGAGAGGAGGGGGGACGAGAAGAGAGAAGACGAGAGAAGGAGAGAGGTTGATGCAAGCCCGCGATCACACAGAGAGCACACAAACACAGAGAGGAACGTCAGCCAGCTGCTTGCCGTGACTTGCCCGGCCGACGACCACAAAGCGAATCCAGCCAGCCAATGATCGCTCCGACCACCCGAGCCGCCAAGCACGCGCGCATTCCCGCCGGCGCTGCACACCCGGGCGTCGTCTAAGCGTCTGTCGTCTTCTTCTTCTTCTTCTTCTTCTTCTTCGCCCGGTCTCTTTTTCCACTTCTCTCCCCAGAGCGAAGAGCCTCTCACCACCACCTCCACCTCCACCTCCACCTCCACAACCCCCCACCCTCTCTCCTCTCCTCTCCTCTCCTCTCCTCTCCTCCCACAGTCTCACCCCTTACATCATGTCCAAAGCGCCCCCACCCCCACGCGCCAAATCCGCCACCGACGTCCGCCGCACGCTCTTCCGCTCCCTCTCGCGCACCGGCCCGTCCACGCTCGCCAGCGCCAGCAGCATCCCCGCCGCCGCTGCTGCCGCCGACCACGCCGACGCCGGCGCCGACGCCGACGCCGCCGCGCCCGAGGGCATCGTGGTCCGGCGCAAGGACGGCAGCATGGACCTGGAGGTGCCGCTGACGACGACGCAGCATGCGCAGCTGCTGGATGGGATTGGGAGGGAGTGTAAGTCTATCCTGCCTGTGTGGGTGTGTGCAGTGCAGTGCTGATCGGGGTGGGTGTGGGGAGGTAGTGGCGGAGCAGCAGCGCGTGGCGGCGGAGCTGGTGAAGAGGCATCAGGTCGATGCGTATAAGAAGCTTCCAGGTTAGTACTGGTCTTTACGGGGGTTTCTAGCTATTGCTACTGCTGCTACTGCTGCGACTCGTGGTTCCGTGGTGTTTGGGCGCATCGTGGAATTAGGAATAGCAGGAGTGGAGCAGTGCACTGTGCTTGGGTTCGTTCGGGGGTCACTAATTGGTTGTCGGGGTTTTTCTTCTTCTACAGAGCTACTGAGACTACACGTGCTATCGCTGGCCCAGGACAGCTGGATGTTTGAGTCGGACGAGGAGTGCTGACACTGACATTGTCAAATTTCAATGGCTTCACTGGACTGGACTGGATGGGCTGGGCTGGGCTGGGCTGGGTCGAGGCAGACAGCTTCCCTTGGTATGTAGCGTGCGGGGTGTAAAAGTTTTCTTTCCTGTTTTTTATTTTCCTTCTTTCTTTTCTTTTCTCTCTTTTGTTTCTTTCACCCTTCCTTATCGCCCTACTGCTACTTACCGCGGGTGGGGTGGGGCGCGGGCTTTTAATGAGGACTGCATGCATGGCTACAAAACGCATAGATAGAATAATTGATCACGAATTGGTGCTGGCAGCGAGCGAGCGAGCGAGCTTTATAATATAATAGTAATGTTTTTTTGTTTTTATGTTTAATTATTATTTCAATTGCTTTGTGGGGATGCATGATGTAGACGAGACACGAGAGCGGGAGGCACGATAGCGAGAAGCATGAGGGAGAGAGAGAGGGGGAGAAGGGGAGAGGGGGATCTAGCTATGTCATGTTAATTATGTGTGTGTGTGCTTCAATCTCAATCCAGGTCCGCGGGGGCTGCGTTCCCCGCTGCAGCACCGCCTATCTGTCTCGCTGGTGCCGCGGCCGCCGGGTTCCCGCCAAACAGGTTGCCCATCATGTCGAACAAATTACTGGACCGTCTGATCTGGATACCGAAATATATCTCCCCAATCTGCTCCAGAATCTATCGCCACACCCACTATTAGCCACTGCTACACCCCCCCTCCCCCAACCCCCGCCCCCCCCAAAAAAGAAACACAGAGCAAGAAGAACAAGAAATACACACCTCATCCCACCCCTGCGCCTCCTTCAACGCACCCGCATAATGGCTCTTGAGCCCCCTAAACACGTCCGCACCGCCACTCTGGATAGCGAGCAGCAGCAGCCCGAGGAAGTTGAGCAGCGGCATGGCCGGGAACACGCGGAAGTCGCTCGTCGCCGACTGCACCTCCTGCACCACGAGCCCGCCGCTGTTGTGCTCCACCAGCTGCGCCGTGAACAGCTGCAGGCAGCGCGACGCGTCGCGCAGGTTGCCGATCAGCAGGTAGGGGAACACGGCGCGCGCGATGTACTGCGGCGCGGTGTGCGGCTCGTCTTCGCTGTACCAGGCGTAGAGGAGGTCGGTGAGCACGGGGGCGCTGTCGCGGGTGCCGACTATTAGGTGCTTTTCGGCGTCGTAGACGTTGTCCTCTGGTGGGGTGGGGTGTTAGTGGGGTGTACGGGGGGAGGGGGAGGGGGAGGGGGGAGGGGGGAGGTACCTTTTGCGAAGAGGTGGCCGATGAAGTGGTGGAGTTCTGGGTCGCCGGCGGGGAATTCGCCGTGCTTGGATGTCCAGCTGCATGGAGGAATCAATGGGGGTCAATGATCAGTTACCGAGAAACAAAACTGAACCTCCTCGCGGATCTAGCTAGCTAGATGGTGGCAGGGTGCACATACGCTATCGTCTCATTGATGACCCTCTTCCGCCCGGGCTCCTCGGGATTGATCAGCGCGATCAGCTGCATAACCTGCGCTACACCCCCCACCATCCCCACATTCTATCAGCACCGTCTATATCCCTCCATATCCCTCCCATTAGATTGAGCTAGCTGTATAGACACTCACCCTTCAACTCGGCCGTCGGGCTCGAGTTCGACGTCTTGAACACCTCAATCATGAGCAGACACAGATCACACCCGCTCGAGCCCTGCCCAGCTTTCAGCAGTGCCTGCGCGCCCGACGACAGGATCTCGATGGCGGCGCTGTAGTCCTTCGCCTTGACGTAGCGCTGCGAGACGACCCGCAGCTGCTGGTGAGCTTCGTAGTAGGCGCCTTCCTCGATGCTGCGGGTTGGTGGGGTTCGTTAGCTCTCTGTCTCACTCTCCAGAGGTGCACTGGGGGGTGGGGAGGCAGGTACCGTTTCTCGAGCCGGGCTCGCGTCTTCTCAACGTTCTTGGAGGCCATGAGTGCGTGCAGTTGTAGGTAGAGGTTGGATGTGTGGAGATAGCGGTGCGCGGACTAAGGATGCTGATCTGATAGGTATTCGATGGTGGGGATGGCCGTTCCTTCCTTCCTTCCTTCCTTCCCAGATGCGTTGGCTCTGCAGCTGAGTGGGTGCGTGCTGGGTGTTTTATCGCGATGATCGCGATAGCGATAAGCAGCTGTCCCGCTGATAAGATAGCGATAAGATCCCCGTCCCCCCACCTCTCCCGCGGTGCAAAGAAAAAAAAAAAGACGACATCCAGGTTGACAGAAGAAAAAAAGTAAATTCAAGATCCCGTGACTGAACAAGGAAGAGAGAAAAAATTACAGACTTCTTTTCTCAGCCTGCGGGGTGTCTGTCTGAATTGATTCTCCACCGGCCCCACTACTACGAAATTAACTTCCTATCCTGTCCTGACGTCAAACAGCCCCCCGCCGTTCCTCCTCCTCCTACCAAACAACGACAGACTATAGATCATAAACAGAAACAATGAAGCTTCTCGTGGTTGGTAACGGAGGCCGGGAGCACGCCCTGGTGTGGAAGCTCGCGCAGTCACCAAAGGTCGAGCATATCTATGTTGCGCCTGGCAAGTTTTTCTCTGTTCTACCCTTTTTTTTTAAACCTGCCATAGACCTTTGTTTTACAGAGATGTAGATGCTAATTGCTGCTCATACAGGCAATGGAGGGACTGCCAGCGGCTTCAAGAACGTCTCTAACGTCAACATTGGCGTGGGAGCATTCAAGGAACTCGTCGAGTTCGCCGTCAAGAACGAGATAGACCTTGTACTGCCTGGCCCTGAGGCGCCGCTCGTAGACGGCATTGAGGGCCACTTCCGCAAGGGTATTGCTTTCTCCATCTCTATCTACAGGCCCAGAGAAAGAAAGAAGCAATTGCTGATATAGCCCCTCCTACCCCACAGTCGGCATCCCCTGCTTCGGCCCCTCGCAAGCCGCCGCACGCATGGAGGGCTCCAAGACCTTCTCCAAAGACTTCATGCAGCGGCACTCCATCCCCACGGCCGAGTACCGCAACTTCTCCAACTACGCCTCGGCCCGCGCCTACCTCGACAGCGTGCCGCACAACGTCGTCATCAAGGCCTCCGGCATCGCCGCGGGCAAGGGCGTGCTCATCCCCGCCACCAAGGAGGAGGCGCACGCGGGCCTGCGCGAGATCATGGTCGACCGCGAGTTCGGCGCCGCCGGCGACGAGGTCGTCATCGAGGAGTTCCTGGAGGGCGACGAGCTCAGCATCCTCACCTTCAGCGACGGCTACCACATTGTCTCGCTGCCGCCCGCGCAGGACCATAAGCGCATCTTTGACGGCGATCAGGGCCCCAACACGGGTGGCATGGGGTGCTATGCGCCGACGAGGATTGCGAGCCCGAGCGTGCTGGAGGAGGTCAATAGGACGATTCTGCAGCCGACGGTGGACGGAATGAGGCGTGAGGGGTATCCGTTTAGAGGCATGCTCTTCACGGGGCTGATGATGACCAAGAATGGGCCAAAGGTGCTGGAGTATAATGTCCGCTTTGGAGACCCGGAGACGCAGACTGTCATGTCGCTGCTGAGCAAGGACACGGATCTTGCGGAGGTGCTCATGGCCTGCGCGATGGGCTATCTCGACTCTGTCAAGGTCGAGGTCACCAAGCAGTTTGCGGCGACCGTCGTGGTGGCTGCTGGCGGATACCCGGGCTCGTACGAGAAGGGCAAGGAGATCAAGTTGGCACCTGTGGGGCCTGGTGAGTTCTGCGTCATGGGAACTCACACGTTTGTTTCGAAACGCTGACAGCAGGGGGGGGTAATGATAGATACCGCCATTTTCCACGCCGGCACAGCATTGGTCGACGGAAAGATCGTGACCGCCGGTGGTAGAGTTATTGCCGCAACTGCTACCGCAGACACTCTCGAGGAGGCTGTCAAGAAGGCCTACGAGGGCGTGAACACTATCTCATTCGATGCCATGTTCTACCGCAAGGACATTGCCCACAGGTCAGCCCCCCGGCTTCTCTAATTCCACCCAACCTATACTAACCCACCCCCAGAGCCTTCAAGCAGAAGCCCGCCGAAGTGGCAATGACCTACGCCGACTCGGGCGTCGACGTCGACGCCGGCAACGCCCTCGTCCAGCGCATCAAAGCGGCCGTCAAATCCACGCGCATCCCCGGCGCCGACGCCGAACTCGGCGGCTTCGGCGGCATCTTCGACCTGCACGCCGCCGGCTGGACCGACCCGCTGCTCGTCGCGGGCATCGACGGCGTCGGCACCAAGCTCAAGATCGCCTGCGCGCTCGGCAAGCACCGCTCCGTGGGAATCGACCTCGTCGCCATGAGCGTCAACGACCTGCTCGCGCAGGGCGCCGCATCGCTCTTCTTCCTCGACTACTACTCAACCTCCAAGCTCAACATCGAGGAGGCCGCCGAGTTCGTCGAGGGCGTCGCAGAGGGCTGCAAGCAGGCCGGGTGCGCGCTCATTGGCGGTGAGACCGCGGAGATGCCCGGAATGTATGCGGTCGGCGACTATGACGCCGCGGGCTGCGCCATTGGCGCCGTCAACCGCGACCAGGTCCTGCCCAAGCTGGATGCCATGGTGGAGGGCGATGTGCTCGTCGGCCTCGCCTCCAACGGCGTCCACAGTAATGGATACTCGCTCATCCGCAAGATTGTGGACCGCGCGGGGCTGGCCTGGACGGCGGCGGCGCCGTGGAACAGCGCGGTAACCATCGGCGAGGAGTTCCTCATCCCGACGCGCATCTACGTTAAGCAGATCTTGAAGGTGTCGACGCGGGGCTTGATTAA